ACAGTGCCCTAATTTGAGACGAAAAGATAAAGCAAGCTAATATCATTGCAGCGCATGCGGCGCTGTATTAGCCACAGACGAATCTTAAGACTTTTATTTTGAAATTTTCAGTGAGCTTCATTTTAAATGGCCAATGTAATCCCATGTGTAACAATTTTTTTGTACAATCAGACATAAAATGGTAAAAAGAGCACTTAATTGATGGGAAAATTGTCAAGGCTATTATTTTGAAAAATTTTTAAAGCTTAATTTAAAATTTTCACACTAATTCCATGTGTAACAATGGTTGGTTAAAAAGAGTTATAGAAGGCCCAAAAAACAAGCAGTTCTAAAGTCCAGCCTTTTCCTCCGAGTTCTGCAATAGTTAGAACTACAGTGATGCGGTTTTGTAGTCCTAATCAGCTGGCCCTGCTGTGTTCCATTGCTATGGTAATGGATCCTCTGCAGGCTGTGAGTCAGACAGGGGGAGACATAATTCTATCAGTTTGTGGCAGCCATTTTCACTAAAATAGGCATGAGCCAGAAAGGAGTCTTAAGGCTTTTATTTTGAAATTTTCAGTAAGCTTCATTTTAACTGTCCAAAATAATCCAAAGTGTAACAGTGGTTTTGTTAAAAAAGTCACATAATCCCCAAGAGAGCAATTCCATAATATAAAAGAATGACAGGGCTTTTATTTTGAAATTTTAATTCAACTTAATTTAAAATTACCACACTAATCCTGTGTAACAATGGTTGGATAAAATCAGTTATAAAATGCCCAAAACACAAGTAGTTCTAAAGGCCAACACCTTCCTCAGAGCTCTGCCATAATAAAAACTACAGTGATGCGTATTTGTAGTCCAAACCACTGGCCCTGCTGTGCTCCGTTGCTATGGTAATGGATCCTCTGCCAGCTGTGAGTCAGACAGGGGGAGACATAATTGTATCGGTTTGAGGCAGCCATTTTCACTAAAATAGGCATGAGCCAGAAAGGAATCTTAAGGCTTTTATTTTGAAATTTTCAGTAAGCCTCGTTTAAATGTCCAATCTATTCACATGAGTAACAGTGATTGTGTTAAATCAGTTCTAAAATGCTCCAAACAGCAATTGATATAAAAATTGTCAAGGCTTTTATTTTGAAATTTTCATTAAGCTTAATTTTATTAAGATTAATTAAACTTAATTAACACTAATCCCATGTGTAGCAAAGGTTGGTAAAAATCAGTTATAAAATGCCCAAAACAAAAGTAGTTCTAAAGGCCAGCTCCTTCCTCAGAGCTCTGCCATAGTAAAAACTACAGTGATGCGTTTTTGTAGTTCTAATTTATAATTCTAAAGGCCAGCTCCTTCCTCAGAGCTCTGCCATAGTAAAAACTACAGTGATGCGTTTTTGTAGTTCTAATTAGCTGCTCGGCCCTGCTGTGCTTCGTTGCTATGGTAATTAATCCTCTGCAACGGTCATGTGTGTGAGACAGAAAGAATTCTATCTTTGTGAGACACCCAGTCAGTTTTGACTGAAAAAAGCGGTCCGAACAACTTCTTTCCGTTCGGAAACCATGATACGTATCGGAAAACCGTTTGAAGCGTATGAGAGCGCTATCTTTCGTCTCCTATAGTTCCGCAATTCATATCTGTACATCACTCACATTAATAACAGCGACTAGTTAAAAATGTTGTGTGCTGAGGTCTGACATTTTTCAGTAATACATGGAAGTGATCCTGGCTGAGCGAGTCGAAATCCTGTCGCATCACTTTGCTCTGAAGCCCCTAGACAGAAAACCGTAAGCCCTAGAAAAATTTTGAAAACATTTTACCGGAGCAGGCATGCGTATCTATTTCATGACCAAGTTTCATACCCATAGGGCGATATTTGTGGGCGTGACGGCGATTTCAAAATTTATTTGGGGTCAGAATCGCAGTGCTTCCCACACTCTAACGAATCGTTGATTACACTCTAGTTTGGGCAGTTTCTAACTGACAAGAATTTTTGATGGTTTTTCGCTTTTTACTTTTTTATCGTAACTGCGAATCCCACCAAAAGTAATAGCACCCCTCCCGGCGCCGAGCCGCACGATTTGATACCACTTTTGTGGGTGGGCTCGCAGCGGTACGAGCCGCATTCCGGTTGACGGAAGAAAAATAAATAAATAAAGAGACATTCTATTGGGTGTAGATTAATAGGTGCCTGCCATGCAATGCATGGAGGCACTTACTGACTTGCTTTGCAAGTCAGTCACTGCTCTCCTTATGCATTGCTAGGCAGGCCCCAATAAATCAAATGTCCACAATGAATAAACCTGGTTATGTGTAAACATTACGATAAACCAGCAACTGTGGATTATCTATAAATGTAAATAATAATTAATCGCACAGGTTATAGCGTCATATGAAAACACAAGAAAATAAGGCATGTGCCGCAACTGCAATCAGCACAACAGCTGCACTAATTAAGCGATCTTAATAGCGTAAGCTAACGGCTAACTGTAGCTCTCGACGATACAAGCACACCGCAGCAAGCGAATACAATATTAAACATGCTAGGGCACAAAACATCCGTCCCGCATTTACATTCGAACTAACAAACTACATTATTACTTACATTCAAGGGACGCACACGGGAGAAAGAATAATGACGAAGCCTGCTTTGAGAGCCACACTACTTAATGCTCAGATCTAAAACAGTATACAACAAGCAAGCACGTGGAACCACCTAGTGGTCGAAATAAATACTACATCCAAAAACAACTTAATGAATAAAATCAGAGGGCTGAAACAGGTGATTAACTGTTTTTTGTACACTAAAAAGGCAGAAAAATCCAATTCGGATGGCGAGCCTCAGCCCAGAGAACCCAGTGATATGGTAGATAGTGACCCGACTGGTCACTATCCTTGAAAAACTGAAGAGAATTGACTGACACATTGGAAGAGACTAGACAAACACTGAATTGACTGATACATTAAAAAGACTGTTATTTTATGTTTTTTAAAAAAAAAACGTACGTAATTTTGTTTCAATTGTACATGAAACTAAATTGTTTATATGATTAATTTTACTCTTTCTTATTGACACTTTGTGCACTCCCTTGTTATTCACAGCTAGGCTGCCTAGAATTTAGAATCTTTTGATCAGGCCCAACTTTTTCAAATATGCTTCAAGAGTATTAGTATAAGTCAGAGAAGTAAATTGAATTACATGCCACTTACTATTATCAGGTGTATTTAAAGTAACTTTCCTTGTGGGTTACACCATGCAATGTTGCATGTCTGGCACAAAGGCCATCAAAGAAGAATGAGTGGATACAACACCAGTAACCATTTGAAGCACTTTAGAGGCCTTTATTTTTAAAACACGAGTCAAGAGTATGTGGGCACCATCCCAGACATGTAGACAGAAGCCCAGGCATGTTGGCATATACCTGGGAACCACTGAACTGACATGTGCACGCCTCCTTCTGGCCCTCTGTCATGTGCAGTTCTCCTTCTAACATGGACCCATTGGCCCCTTCAGGTGTAGGCAACTGCTCTAAGGTGTGGACCTCCTTCAAGTGTGGGTGAGTGGCTCCTCTCCAAGTATTGAGCCAGAACCTTCCATGCCTGTGTGTCTGTCTCAAATCTCCACTTGTCTCACACTGCTCACTCGTTGGCCATGTGGAACAGAAGCCCTTGGGCCAAATAGACCAAAGTCCCCATGTGACTTTAGGACCCTCACATTCTGGTACCTTAATGGAAGCACAATTAGCAGTCACAGGAGGGCATTGGAGTACAGTGAATTCATTGTCATTTTTATCAGTGAAGAAGATTACTGACTTTTTATAGGGAGAAACTTCCGTCAAAACCGTACTTGGGATAACTGTCTGTGTCCTAGAAATACCTGATTCCTTTGGTAGCCCTTCATTGAAAACCTTGAATCGCTCTTAGTCTGATCCCTCCCCAATGGCAGCCTGCCCTGGGAAGCCTCACTATTGGCTGAACCCCAAGACAAAATCTCCATCTGGGTCATGGGGATACTCAAACCCTCCACCACGTTAAGGTGGCGATTCTGCGGAGGGGTCACCAGCAGATCGCGATGGATGTTTAATCCAAGGGATCCCCCATCCTGAGCAAGCACAAGGCAACAGTGGAGAGGAAAACTCCCTTTAAAAGGAAGAAACCTCCAGCAGAACCAGGCTCAGGATGAGCAGCCATCTGCCGAGGCTGGTTGGCTTCAAGAGGGCAAAAATAAAAAACACACAAACACAAAACTGTCAACAAACCTTCTGAAAGAAAGAAAGACAGATTCAATTACAATATTAGTTTACAATACACATGTTACAAAAGGTAGATCTGGGAAAGTCTATACAATAGATATTAACAGAAAATAGTCTGAACCTGTAGCAGTAAACTACCTCTCACTGGAATCAGTCCCGAAAGAATAACATGAAACAAAAAGTTAAACTTCAATATCTGTGAAAGAACTTAAAGAATTGTGTTAGTGCATCATTATCTACAAAATCATGTTGCTGTATTCCCATATCCTGGACAGACAATCTTTCAATTTGATTAAGAGTTTAAGTTTGAATATGTTAATGTTATCAGAAAGTTTATGTCGTTATGTTGTCAACCATGCAGCACATATTCACAGCTGAGGAGATTTTGGGCAGACCAATTAACCGAACAGTTAAAGTTTTATTGTGGGAGGAAGCCGGAGCACCCAGAGAGAACCCACAAATCCTACTTTTATTATTTCTGTGGGAGGAAGCCGGAGCTTCCAGAGAGAACCCACACGTGCCAATTTTAAAATGTCTGAGGGAGGAAGCCGGAGCACCCGGAGAAAACCCACAAATCCCACTTTTATTACGTCTGAACCTCTTTCTGAAAGGTAACAGTGCTACTAACTGTGCCATTGTGCTACTTATGGTTGACTGTGAGGACTTTTTGTGAGGAATTAAAATTAATTGTGTAAACATATACAAAAGAGATATATCAAAGGGTAAAAAAATAGTTTTCTCCATATCTCATCCATCTCTCTTTGTTCTCGTCATTTTGCAATTTCTCCATGCACTCTAAAGTTATAGAGGCAGGTGTAGTCCGGATGACCCCAGTTGCTGTTCACCTTTAGAGTCACATGACGGAAGGAACCAACTTTATCGGCCTGTAAGGCAAGAGAGATATAAATTAGGGAGGTTAGATTGATAATCCATAGTTGCAAATAGATGATAGAAACAAAGGAGGTCTGTCTGATGGAAGCCTAGTTCAACTTTCCTTGCTGTAAATACATTTTGCATAGTTTATCTCAAGATAGCGAGGTAATTATACTGATATCTTGCTAACCAGAAAACAAAATGTTCTGTAGTAACACTGGGATTTTGTTGTTATACAGAAACGAAAAATTATTGTTTTGTGAAAATGTTGACTTTTTTGCATTTTAAGTCACTTCCTTACAATTGTATGTTGAGCATAATTTACGTGATGATTATTATTAATTTAAATTAACATGATTGTAAATAATTACAAAAGCTACAGTGAAACATATTTAAGTGCGAGGCATAATTTATTTGAATAGAGGAAGTCTTTTATTTTGAAGAATACTAAACCGGATGTGGTTCTGTATTTCGTCACTGTCTTGCTTCTGTTGATTTTGGTTGCTAGGTTACAAACAGCTGTGATCAGCTGTCACTGTTTTCTCCTCAATAAAAACTGAACAGAAATGTTCAGTAAAAGAAATCCGAGTCTCCGTGTTGATTGAAGAATCTCCCACATCTTAATAATAAGAGGTTGACTTTGTATTTTGTTACCGTGATGTAATAAAAGTCTCAACGAGATTTATGCCAAGACAACAATATTTTCCTCCTTAATAGATGGCCAAATAAATCTACAGTTTTTTTCCATTTGTTCAAGTTAAACACTTTGTATCTCTGTGTTTGGAATAGTTATGGTTCAATAACAAAGCTTAATGTGGCTGCATTACATTTAGGCACTATTTCTAGACAACTTAACTAATTGATTAATTTTTCAATGCTTTTTATCAGTTACCACTACTCTGAAAGTGCAAGATTAACATACATTTTTATGGTTTAAGTAGAGTTTTTCATTGAAGCCTTTTGAATGAAACAATAATACGGTACTTTGAATAAAGTACCGTATTATTGTACTTTTAAATTGTTTTTAAATTGAATGCTAGTAATACCCAGTGAAGAACCTTATGATTGTATGTTAGAATATATGATCATCATTTCAATATATCAATATTTATAACAGGGTAGGTCAGTCTGGGCTTCTGAGAGAACTGTATTTGGTTAATAAAACATTAATTTGACATATTTACAGGAAGTTTGAAGGTCTGTATTTGGTCTCCATCTTCATCGTATTGGAAAGTTCCCAAATGAGTTTCCTCATCTTCTAAATTCTTTGCTCCCTGAGACAAAATTAGATAAAAATTCAGTTCATTATCTTGTTCTTTCAAACATATGTGAAAGTTAGTTGGTGTATCAGAAAACATATCACATCCTGAGATAAACAGAAAATTCATTAGTGCAGACAGAAAGTTTGCATGGTTTAGAATGAGATCAAGCAATGTCATATGGAATCAATGCTATCACATTTTGAATGTATAATATATACTATACATGGCTATATCTATATTACACTTTTGACACTCATTTTATTTGACTTACATATACAGAAAATTCTTTGGGAGCACTAGAGACAGAGGACGTTGGGGACACAGTCTTAGCAATGTGACCCAGGGACACATGTCTGATGGTGGCTGGGTGTGAAAGTGAGACGCCCAAACGTCCCTGGAAACCTGGAAAGGCCCAGCATTTTCCAGGTTTCAGACGATTTTTTCCCTGAAAACAGAGAACAAAATTTAAGTGGGGTACCAAGACTAAGAGAAAAGTAAATCATAAAGGCTAATAATATATCACCAAGAAACACCACTTTTATTTTTTTAATGATCTGATCATCATTCAAACCTTAATAACAATGCCTGGGCCAATAGGAGGTCTCTTGAACAATTTCCCAAACGTTCCAACTTCTTTATTGATGTCATAAGCCTCTGAGGTCATCTTGTGTAAAATATTTGCTCCTGTACACAAAACACAAAAACAGAAATAATGTGAGTTAGAAAATTTTAATACTGAAAATTTGAAATCTAGTTGATGATCTTATTTGTAATGGCTCGCCTTGAGACTCCAGAGCAAAGTTGGGCCACAGGTCTGCTTGTGGCAGAAGGTAGTCAACCTTCTGCTCCAACAACTCCAGGTTGGAGAGATGTCTTTGATCCTTGCGTCCAAAGATCGTAACCTGTGCACAACATAAAAATTAACAGCTTGTTCTCATGTTTGATCATGATAATTAAATCGGTGTTAAGATTAGGAAGAGAAAGCCTACCATGTCTGTTAGAGTTGTGAGAGACAACTCCGAAGATCGTGAGTGGAAGGAAATAATACAGCAAATACATCCTGATGAACATGAGCAGAAGACAACAGTGAGAAAAAATTTAAAAACACAGACTTTCTGTAACACTTCCAAATTGACTGTTTGTAGGAGAGTATTTACCAAAAGTGACGAAGATGAGAAAGACAAAGACTGATATATCAAAACCACCCTGCAACAGAGTCATCATCATATGTCTTTCTCTGTCAATCACATTGTCACCAGAATAATGTGACCTCTGTCTAAATGTGACTGCAGGGTGGTTTGCAGGACGACCTGTTATGCGCCTCCTTATGGCCCTAGATGAAAAATATACAAGCGAGTTAAAATGTACACTGATCAGCAGATGACTGCATAAAACATATGACTTAATGAAAATTGCTGATTTAATCTACCTGATTGGCGTCTCCCTGTATGAAATAACAGGTTGTCCATCCATATCATAGTATCCGTTGTTTCTCAAACGTTCACTTCTTCTTAGCATGACTGTAAAAAACCAAAGACATGCAAAAGTGGTCGGTGACTGGTATAAAGCATGTCCAAAATGTACCAACACAACTCTGCACACTTCCTTCAAAATACTAGCACAAAATGTAATTTTTTTCTGTGCTTCACTAATTTCTAAATAAATACTTACTCGAAAAACTGAAGCTCAGTTCAATTTCTTGAATTTTTTGAAGTAATCTATCCGACGTCTAACTCTTCAAATGGATGAATTCCTGTAGGAACTCGGCTCTTATTGACAAAAGTTCCAAAGCGCCTGATGACAAGTCAGCTTATGTGACATCAGAATGCTCCACAGAACCTGCCCACAATTCATTTCTGCCTCTTTTAAATTCATTTAAAGCATTTAAAAAATTAAGGTACGAAAAAAAAAATTCTGCTGTTAAATTAGTCAATCAAATCACTGCTCTAAACAAAATCAAGAAATGTTTACTTCCCTACTGGCATTTACATGCAGTTATTGCAGTTTTTTAGACATGTTTGATAAAAACATTTCCGTTATTACTGCAGAGCGCTTTCTCTACACCGACACACTGGATTGTACATTTCCTGTTATATATTTACAGTTCAATATGCACGTTATGTACATTTTGACAAAGTTGTGCTACTTACTTGCACATTATCAAAAAGTTTCTGCTATTCTTGTTATTGTTAGTCCTGTTTTCATATGCACTTAAAAGTGTATGTATATATATATATATATATATATATATATATATATATATATATATATATATATATAATATATAAAATATATATATATATATATATATATATATATATATATATATATATATATATATATATATATATATATACAGCTGAAGACAAAAGAGGATGCAGGACCGCGTAGAGTAGAAACTCTTCCAATACACCTCATTCAAATAGACTGCTTGTTCCCAGGCCTCTGCAGTATTAAACGACTGACTGCTGATGAACAGCATATATATATATATATATATATATATATATATAATATATATATATATATATATATAAAAAAAAATAAATAAATTCCCTTCTCACCCACCGCGGGTGGTTCTTATCCTCTGAGCTCGGGTCCTCTACCAGAGGCCTGGGAGCTTGAGGGTTCTGCGCAGTATCTTGGCTGTGCCAAGGTCTGCACATTTCTGGACTGAGATGTCTGATGTTGTTCCTGGGATCTGTTGTAGCCACTGCTCCAGTTTGGGGGTTACTGCCCCGAGGGCCCCGATGACCACAGGCACCACTGTGGTCTTCACCTTCCAGGCCCTCTCCAGTTCTTCCCTGAGGCCCTGGTATTTCTCCAGTTTCTCGTGCTCCTTTTTCCTGATGTTGCAATCACTTGGTATTGCTACATCTACCACAACGGCTGTCCTCTGTTGTTTATCCACTACGACAATGTCTGATTGGTTCGCCATTACCATTTTGTCTGTCTGGATCTGGAAGCCCCACAGGATCTTAGCTCTGGCGTTCTCCACCACCTTTGGGGGTGTTTCCACTTTGATCTCGGGGTTTCCAGTCCATATTCTGCACAGATGTTTCTGTAGACTATGCCTGCCACTTGGTTATGTCGTTCCATGTACGCTTTCCCTGCCAGTATCTTGCACCCTGCTGTGATGTGCTGGACTGTCTCAGGGGCCTCCTTGCACAACCTACACCTTGGGTCTTGTCTGGTGTGGTAGATCTGGGCCTCTATTGCTCTGGTGTTTAGGGCCTGTTCCTGGGCGGCCAGGATGAGGGCCTCTGTGCTGTCCTTGAGTCCAGCTTTTTCCAGCCATTGATAGGATTTACTGATATCAGCCACTTGGGTTATTTGCTGGTGGTACATCCCATGTAGGGGCTTGTCCTCCCATGATGGTATCTCTGGCACCTCAACCTCCGTTCCCTGTTGTCTGAGACATTCACTGAGCACATTGTCTGTTGAGGCTTTGTCCCTGATGTATTTATGGATCTTAGTTGTTTCGTCCTGGACAGTGGTTCTCACACTCACTAGTCCTCTGTTGCCTTCCTTGCGGCTCGTGTACAGTCTCAGGGTGCTGGATTTGGGATGGAACCCTCCATGCATTGTTAGTAGCTTTCTGGTCTTAATATCTGTGGCTTTTATCTCCTCCTTTGGCCAGCTAATTATTCCAGCAGGGTATCTGATTACTGGTAGGGCATAGCTGTTTATCGCACGGATTTTGTTCTTGCCATTGAGCTGGCTTCTCAGGACTTGCCTTATTCGTTGGAGGTATTTAGCTGTGGCTCCTTTCCTTGTGGCCTCATCGAGGTTGCCATTTGCTTGTGGTATACCTAGGTACTTGTAGCTGTCCTCTATGTCTGCTATTGTTCCTTGTGGGAGTGAGACTCCTTCTGTGCGGATCACCTTCCCCTCTTTGTGATCAGCCGACCACACTTCTCTAGTCCGAATGACATCCCAATGTCAGTGCTGTAGATCCTGGTGGTGTGGATCAGTGAGTCGATGTCTCGCTCACACTTGGCGTACAGCTTGATGTCATCCATGTAGAGGAGGTGACTGATGTTGGCCCCATTTTTGAGTCGGTATCCGTAGCCAGTCTTGTTGATAATTTGGCTGAGGGGGTTCAGGCCTATGCAGAACAGTAGCGGGGACAGAGCATCTCCTTGGTATATGCCACATTTGATGGACACTTGTGCAAGTGGTTTGCAGTTGGCTTCAAGGGTGGTTTTCCACAGCCTCATCGAGTTTGCAATGAAGGCTCTCAGAGTCCTTTTGATGTTATACATCTCTAAGCATTCAATGATCCAAGTATGCGGCATTGAGTCGTAGGCTTTCTTGTAATCAATCCAAGCCATGCACAGGTTGGTGTGTCGGGTTTTGCAGTCTCGGGCAACTGTGCGGTCTACGAGGAGTTGGTGTTTGGCTCCTCTGCTATTTACACCGATACCCTTCTGTGCCGTGCTCAGTGTTTATCCATGTGTTTGCTTATCTTGGCCGCTATGATGCCTGACATGAGCTTCCAGGTTGTGGAGAGGCAGGTTATTGGTCAGTAGTTGGGTGGGACTGGACCCTTTGATGGATCCTTCTGGATTAGGATTGTCCGCCCTTCAGTTAACCATTCAGGGTGAGTCCCACTTTGTAGCAGCTGGTTCATTTGGGTTGCCAGTCGCTCATGGAGGGCAGTGAGTTTCTTTAGCCAGTAGGCATGGATCATGTCAGGCCCTGGTGCTGTCCAGTTTTTCATACCTGAGACTCTTTCTTGGACATCTGTCACAGTGATGGTTTCCGGGGCTTGCTCAGGGAGGTTGCTGTGGTCCTCTCGTAGAGAAATCAGCCACTGTGCATTGCTGTTGTGGGACGCCTCCCTTTCCCATATGCCTTTCCAGTACTGTTCCGTCTCCAGCCTTGGGGGTCTGCTCTGTTGTTATTGTTACCCTGCCATTGAGAGTACACCTTAGCTGGTTGAGTGGAGAAGAGCCGGTTAATCCTTCTGGATTCATTCTCCCTTGTGTATCTCTTTAGGCGGCTGGCCAAGGCTTGGAGCCTCTGTTTGGCAGTTTCGAGTGCTTCAGGTATGGGCATCTGCCTGTACTTTCTGGGTACTGGTCATTCATTGTACCCTTGTGGAGCTCTGTGGAGCTCTGACAGTTGGCTCACTTCCCTCTTTGTTACCTTGATTTTAGCCTCTAACCGTCTTTTCCATGGTGGGTATTGGGTCTCATGGTTGCTCTTATAGCCAAGCGTCTCAAGGATCACTGATGCTGAGTTGTAGATCAGCTCATTGGTTTCTGTTATGGTGTTGGTAGGGATCGTTCTCAATGCTGCATTCACATTCTCAATGAGACTTTCTGATGGTACTTCACTCAGCCGTTGTAATTGGCGCCGAGGAGGTCTGGTTGTCATTGGGTCATGATTCTCTCTCTCAGGTCAGCAGCTGTCTCGTTCAGCTCTGTTTCGC